GAACAGTGGTTTCACGTTAATGTAGGGTTTTTTAAAAAAAATATATTTGGTACAGCGTTTCACTGCACAGCTTGGACTCGTAGTGATCCTTCTGTTGTCAGCTGCCTCAGTGCACCTGGGGTCAGGGCCGGTGCAGGATGTGGTGTTGGGGATTGAACCTGGGTCTCTGCACTTGTCTAAGCAGGTGCTTAGTCTGCTGAGTTATCTCGCTGGCCCCAAGTTAATGTAGTTATATTTGTTAATATAATTGATGTAGAAGTTTTCTTCAAGTCATGTTGAAAGTTTTCTTCTAATGTTGCTTTTACTGTTTTTTGAGTTTGGATATTAAACTTAGTACTTCTTAAATGTGTTTTGTTTTTTTTTTTTAATTTTTATTCATTTATTTGAGAGAGAGAGAGAGAGAGAGAGGCCAGCTCAGCCCACCAGGGGGCAGGGCGGGCTGGCATGTGGTGCTGGGGGATTGAACCGCGGTCCCTGATGCTTTTTGCTAAGCTTGTTCTAAGTAGGTGCCTTAGACCACTGAGCCATCTCTCCAGCCCTTAAATGTGTTTTTAGAGTTTTGAATTGTACTACTTTGCAGCAGTTTTTCAAAGTGGCCGTATGTTTGGATCTGGCAAAAGCCAGAATACGAAAGGTAATTCATGACATGTAAGTCATCAGGAAGGTGACTAAGTACATTTGTTAGTCCATTTTTTTCTTTTTTTAGGGTATAAAAATGCAGAGCAATAAGACCTTTAACTTGGAGAAGCAGAACCATACTCCAAGGAAGCACCATCAGCATCACCACCAGCAGCATCATCAGCAGCAGCAACAGCAGCAGCAGCCACCGCCACCAATACCTGCAAATGGGCAGCAAGCCAGTAGCCAAAGTAAGTAGTTGCTTGGGTAGGAATAGGTTCCCTTTTGGAAGTGCCTTCCTGGTTTGGTTTGGTTTTTTGAAACTGGGTCTCACTATGCAGTTTAGGCTAGCCTTGAGTTCACTTTGTAGTCCAGGCTGGTCCCCCCGCCTTTTTTTTTTTTTGGTGCCAGGAGTCAAACCAGGCTGGTCTTGAATTCACAACAATCCTTCTTTGGCCTCCCATTTGCTGGGATTACAGACATGTGCCACCACACCTGGTGCCTTCTTGGTTTTTATTTTTTGGAGACAGTGTCTCACTATGTAGTCCAGGCTGGTCTTGAATTCACTATGTAGTCTAGTCTGGCCTTGACGGTAGTCCTCCAGCCTCACCCTTCTGGGTGCTGGGATTACAGGCCTACTCCACCATGCCCGTAATCTTCTATTTCCTTTTTTTTGCAGGGAGGCAACAGCAGTCAAACTCAGGCGTTGTGCCACTGAGCTATACCCCACACAGTTTCCCTCATAATATTATGATATAAAAGGGCTTATCTCCTAAAACCAAGAAACAGACGTGTATGATAGCAGTTGAATATACATTGCTGTGTTGGCACATTGTACTGCTGAACAGATGTCTGTATGTTTTACCTCTTTTTGTTTCTTAGAGGTAATCATCAATTGACTTAAATGTAAAGAAAATATTGGTAAGTCTTTACAGCCTACTGGTGAAGATTGGTAATGAGTGGCTGATGGGGGCCAATGCCAGGCCGATTTTAATCATTAAAGTATGTTTCCAGGGGCTGGTGAGATGGCTCAGTGGTCTAAAGCACCTACTTTGAACAAGCTTAGCAAAGCACAGGGACCGTGGGTCAATCCCCCAGCACCAAATGCCAGCCAGCCCCGCCCCCTAGTGGGCTGAGCTGGACACACACACACACACACATAAGTAAAATAAAATTTTTAAAAGTATGTTTCCATTCCCTCAGTTAATTTTCAGTTCCTGATTTCCAATGAGCCTACATGTTACCTCATTGCAATCTGATTTCCTAAACCTGAAAGAATGAGAACTGTTAAGGTTATGAAAGTTGGTAAGAAATTAGAAAAAGAGAGGATGTGTGTTTTGCATTGCTTAGAATCAAATCCCAAAGCCTTACACATGCTAGGCAAGCATTTTACCACTGAATTAGATTCCTACTCTGAGCAGTTGGCCTAAATTTTAAAATCTGATTCCTTCAGTTGCCCAATCATCTGTATTTCGCTCGCTCGCTCGCTCTTTCTCATTCCAGTTTGGTCCCAGTCCATAGTATAGCAGTTGACAGGGTGGGCCCCTCCATCTCTGTGATAAGTGGCATTAGGAAATGGTATATGCCTTCTCAGCATAGTTCTCGCCTAATCTAGCAGTAATTGTAGCTTTTGAAGATGTGACTGTAATTTTACAGTGTTACTTATTTTCGGATTTTAAAAATTACTAATTTAATTTGTTTAATTCTTTTGAGGCAAGGTCTCGATATATAATATAGGCTGGCCTAAAGCTCACAGTGATCCTCCTGCCTCAGTTTCCTGAGGATTACAGTTGTGTACCACCTTGTCTGGTGATTTCATTCCTTTTTTTTTAATTTTAATTTTTTTTTTTTTTTGGCAGAACCGGGGATTGAACTCAGGCCCTTGCACTTGCCAGGGAAGTGTTTCTTCCACTGAGCCATCTCCCTGGCCCCTTTGTTTTTTTGAGACAGGTTCTCTGTAGTTCAGGGTGGCCTGGAAATTCTGCCTCAGCCTCCCAATTGCTTGGGTTATAGTTGTGTATCACATTGCATGAATTTTTTTTTTTTTTTTGGTGGAACCAGGGATTGAACTCAGGCCCTTGTGCTTGCCAGGCAAGCGCTTATTCTACTGAGCTATCTCCCCAGCCCTTTTTTTTTTTCTACCCGCGCCAGCCTGCCTATTTTTTAAGAAAAGTTTGCAGGTGTGGGGTTTTTTTGGTACTGGGGATCGAACTCAGGACCTTGCATTTGCCAGGCAGGTACTTATGCCACTGAGCTATGTCCCTGGCCTGAAGAAAAGTTAAATTAGTGCATTTTGCAGTACATAATGACTCATAATATCATGGGTAACTAATTTTCTTTCCTCAATTTTCTGAGTGACTTAATGTTTCTTTTCTCAGATGAAGGTTTGACTATTGACCTGAAGAATTTTAGGAAACCAGGAGAGAAGACATTTACCCAACGTAGCCGCCTCTTTGTGGGCAATCTTCCCCCTGATATCACTGAGGAGGAAATGAGGAAACTATTTGAGAAATATGGGAAAGCAGGAGAAGTTTTCATTCATAAGGATAAAGGCTTTGGCTTTATCCGCTTGGTGAGTGACTGTGTTCCTTGGGACATGTGCTTTTTAAATGGGAGGGAAGCTAGAAAATGATGGGTGTTTAAAAGTAAATGTTGGTCCGGGGAGATGGCTTAGTGGAATAAGCGCTTCCCGGGCAAGTGCAAGGGCCTGAGTTCAATCCCTGGTTCCGCAAAAAATAAATAAATAAATAAATGTAAATGTAAATGTAAGGGGCCAGGGAGATGGCTCAGAATAAGCGCTTCCCTGGCAAGTGCACGGGTCTGAGTTCAATCCCCAGTTCTGCCAAAAAATAAATAAATGAAAGTAAGTGTAAAAATAATTCTCAAGATTGTTAGAAGATTGTAATTGATGAAACAGAAGAAAAACATGCAGATTTTTAATGTTTGCCCCCTTGGGTTTTAAGAACAACATAAGTTCATTTGTCTAAGATACCATTTTTTTTCTGTAGGGTTTTTTTTTTTTTTTTTTTAGGGAAGGGTCTACAGGGTGTCCAGGGTCTCACTACTAGATCGGACTTGTAGTGATCCACCTGTTTACAGCCTCCCAAGAGCTGGGATTACAGGCACACGCCACCACACCCAGTCTCAGTCCTGTCGCAGCACTCCTCGGGGACAGGGCTGGCATGGCAGGCCCCTGCGCCTGCTTGCAGGTGCTTTAATCTGCTGAGCTATTTGGCTGGCCCTTAAGATACCTTTAGAATTTCGTTTAATTGGGAAATTTGAAACACAGAAGTAAATAGAATAGTATAATGAGGGTATATATATGCATTGTCTAGCTTTAACTCATGATTAATTTTATTTGCTGTCCACTTGCAGCATGTTGTAGTCTCATTAGGACTCTTAAAAGTGTGAGAAAGGCCAGGGAAATGGCTCAGTAGAATAAGCACTTCCTTGGCAAGTGCAAGAACCTGAGTTCAATCCCTGGTTCCATTACATAAATAAATAACAAAATACAAAAAACATTATTAATCCGTACAAAAGTGTGAGAAATTTTATTTGTGTATTTTTAAAATCTTTTAACTGGTCAAATGGGGCATTTTTAGGGGATGGAACTTACAGCCTTGTACCTGCTAGACAGGTGTTCTATCCTTGAGCTGCATACCCAGCTTCACCAATTTTTGTTTTGAGACAAAGTCAGTTGAGATAATGTAATTCAGACTAGCCTTGAACTCATGTAGTCCAGGTTGGCCTTGAGCAATCGTCCAACCTCAGTTTAAGTGTATTGCTAGTGAAAATTAAAGTATTTTGTGTGCTGAATTATAGGAGTAGAGATGTTAGAATGATTTTTTATTTTCAGGGTGATCAGTTATCACTTGGGAGAATAACATCATGTAAGTGATACTCATAGATTTCCAGTTTCAGTCTTCTAGGGTAACTAAAGAGTTGTCTGAAACCATAGTTTCATTTTTTAAGTTTTATTTATTTCTTTGTATGGTTATTAAGGGGGCAACATGTGTTACTGAGCTACGTTACTTTAAGCTATTGATGATTACTCAGGTCTTCATTAAACTGAGTTTTTCCTAATGTTCTTAGGAAACACGAACCCTTGCAGAGATTGCCAAAGTGGAGCTGGATAATATGCCTCTCCGTGGAAAGCAACTGCGCGTGCGCTTTGCCTGCCATAGTGCATCCCTTACAGTCCGAAACCTTCCTCAGTACGTGTCCAACGAACTACTGGAAGAAGCATTTTCTGTGTTTGGCCAGGTGGAAAGGGCT